AAACCCCCAAGGGTTGCTAGCCCTAACCCCCAAGGGTTGTTGGCCCTAACCCCCAAGGGTTGTTGGCCCTAACCTTCCCCATTCACACAAAGTTAAACACCCATATGGGATTTGTGCACAGAAGCTGAGGGATGCTAAACCCAATGCAAATGCCAGCTGTTATGGGCCTACCGGACCTATCCCCACAGAATGAAACACTTTACTACTGTTTAATTCTGTGTAGTTGGGGAAGGTTAGGGTTAAAGAATTCGCAAAAAAGACCCAACTGCATAGTTTGATTTGTGCTACCTTTTAGGTCTTTTGTTTTAATGGGGGTTTAATTCAACAAGATGGGTATCATGCACTAGTGAAATCATGCAGGGTGTGTCGTCTGTATCGGTTAAATATGGCTGTGCTAGAAGCTTGTTCTGTCCGCGTCATGAAGTGACACAGCAGGGGCGGATGTACAAGCCTGCTTGTTATGAACAATCCCTGTGGGGAGTAAATGCCACAGTGATGAGGTGACGTTAAGGTCATCGCATAATGCATGGGAACACTGCCGGTGAAAGTGAGCTTCAGGCTGTTCGTCATCTGGGCTTTGCATGCATGCTACTCACTCATATACATGTATGTATGTATGTATGTATGTGTACACTTATGTACATTCAACTTGCTATAGCACTACTGTTAAGTAATCCTAATGTAAAGAGAAAATTTTCAAGATCCCTGTCTGTTGGATCTTTTATTTTTTTATTTAATTTTATTTTTCTAGTCTTTTTGAAAAAAAAAAGAACGGTTATAATGATTTGGTTTATCCTGGTAAACTTGTCATACACATGTACATGTAATAAGAGTTTACTGTATAAATAACTACACATTGCCATATTGCAAACATACATGTACTTGTAGCTCTTTCAGGATGCTTCATTTTTGCTTATGTTCAGTTTTGATTATGTTCAGTTGTATTTGTGATTTATGCTAAAATCGAATGCTTTGGTAGGTATAAATTTTGGCAATGATAATTATTTTATTGCAACTTTTGCAACTCTTTTGTTTTTATCCCAGGAGCTAACATTCTTCAGCAAGAAAGAAATTCTTCAGTAAGTAAATAAATACAACTACTCATAAATGAATTGTCAAAACTTTTGTTCCAAAGATATGTAATACAAAACTGCTGCAAACTGTTTGCTGACTACAATGACCTAAGATACAAGTCTCAAAATATGGAAGGCCTGTCTGACGTTCCGATCCTAGCAGAATCTTTCTCAAAGGCAAAACTTTTGTTCAGTACCTAAGTGGTTTGCAATGCCTGGCATGTAAAAAAAGAAAGTAGCGTGGGATATGTACTCAGTTTGGATTGTTGACTGTATTTTTAATGTACTCTAGTTTTCCTTGAAATAAACCTGCAGTCCCTAATGCCTGCTGCTGCCATTTTGTTAACAGTGTGCACAAGAGATTCCACCTACTGGATCCAGACGCTGTTCGTGCCGACAAGAATGCCCGACTTCCCATGTCTACGATCCTAGAGCTTCCTGAATTAAAGGTTGGTGGAATGTTGTGTCTGCTAGACAGATATGGATGACATGTTCCCGTCTGAGACATGACATGTGATGTTAGTTGGATGCCGTCATTTATTTTTTTTTTTTACTTCTTTTGTAGGAAAACCCTTTTAAAGACAGAATCTGCAAGGTGTTTTCCTCAGCAGACGACGGGTCCCTTCAGTTTGAGGACTTCCTGGATATGATGTCAGTCTTTAGCGATGCCGCTCCCAAAAGTGTCAAGGCTGAATATGCCTTCCAGATTTACGGTGAGTTGATTTTGTAATATTGTAGTCAACAGGAATCATTCAAGACACTTTCAGCTGTTAGAAATTACATTAAATTAGTTGAAATTTGTAGTATAGCATGTGGCATTTTTGGCCCATGATGTTTCAATGAATTGAAAGTGTACTTTTTTCCTGATGTAAATCCAGGGTTTGTGTTTTTCCCCGTTCTCCAGACTTTGACGACGATGACTTCATCAGTAGCACAGATCTCCGTGAAGTGGTCAACAGGCTGACCGGAGAGCAACACTTATCAGATGCCGACATGCAACAGCTCATTGACAATGTAATGATGCTATCAATTATTATCAATAACTGATTTCCCGGAATCTGTCTGAGGTGCTTACAACCATATCAGGCAGCCGTAGGCACTTTCTTTTCTGGTTGCATTTACCCCTTTCTATTTTTAGTACCTAAGAAGTAAAAAAGCAAACATTTTATTCGTCCCTTTAGGTTTTGGAGGAGTCCGATTTGGATGATGACGATGCTTTGTCATTTGCAGAGTTTGAACATGTGATCTCCAAATCACCTGACTTCATCAAGTAAGTATCATGTGGACATTTATTCCTATGGTTTTGAATTGAAATGAGAGGGTAGGATTTGTTTGACTTTGAAGCCTTCATGTTTGGTCCCAGTTTTTGGACCGAGAATGTTCACAATGATTTGCCCACCCATGTTGACAATGTTTTCACACATTACTGGCTGCATTGTCTCTACACAGTTCCTTCCGGATCCGTTTGTAAGCAGCGATGCATCGCGTCCCGGTTTGGCCTGGTGCTAGATATTGTGCAGTGTGTATTCGTAAGCTACTCAGAGAAAGTCAAACGACGATTGAAGAGTCGTGAAGCATGACCGGGCTTGTAGAATAGAAGAAAATCCATCACACATGCGGTTTTGTGTTTCCTCTTCACCCTGATGGAAATGCATGTACCGATTAATAACCCTTCTCTACATCATCAACGAAATTATGACTTCTTTTTGTATATATTTGTATTTTTCCCATAGTGCCTGGTTACAGTCTTTTTAATCGAATCATCTAAATTGAATGAATTTGTACATTTTTAATACAGATCAATGCCTTATGTATTTTTATCTATTTACTGAAAGAAAGATTTTTAAAGGTTTGAGATGTTGCAGATTTTAGTGCTTGATAAATCTTCCATAAATCATGATTGGCAATACATTGACCAGTGCATGTAGTGTTGATTTTTACATTAACTTGGAGCTGTAACGAGAGCGTACAGTCTTTTAGGTGTTCCTTTCGCATTGTTGGAGTCTCTTCAACATCTTTTTTCCAATACCAGATTTCCACTTTGGAACCAAGCCCTACACTAAAACTGTAGATCTCCGTGTAGTCCATCAGAGAAGTTCTGTGTTCTTCCTTAAATAATTCATTGGTGCAAATGTGGTTGGCCTATGAGTATTATGCAGATCTTGACAATGCTGCATGTAATGTTCACGCATTGTAGTCACCAGGTCCCTTATTTCGCCACTTACTGTGAAAACCAGACTTGACAATGGGTTGTGAAATCAGGGCCCTGGTGGTTATACAGTCATGGATGTTGGATAGAAAGGCTGTTTGAGTCAAACCGTAAGTGCCTGTATCCAAAAATCTAAAAGAAATCACAAATAACCGAAGGATTATTCCCGATTGTATAAAAAAAAGAGAACCAGAGTTTACCTCCCCACATACTGAGACGAGTACCTGGTACTAGAAATGGGATAAATTCAGTTCCCATAGTTCCATATAGAGGGTTTGCATGGCTGCCATCTTGGAAGCCAGTGCTTTTGTAACCCTAGGGCACGTACAAAGGAGGTTTCCCTGTGGAACAAAAGAACTGCCCACCACACAAAACCTCTATACACCTTGTATGCTCTAGGACTCCTAGTGGGCTGAAAAATACTTTGGAACACTGATAAGGTCCTGTGACTTGTTCTTATTAATTTGCCCCCCCCCCAACAAAAATCATCTTACCTGCAGTGTTGGACAGGTTAAACATTATCAGTAGTGTCTCGATTTTGTCCAACTCCAGTCGTTGCACAATTATTTCCGTGGAGATAGCCTTGCACCTCAGGCATTTGTCTACTTATTAGACCTGAATTAAGACTTGGTTGTGGTACCAACAAAAAAATGTATCCAAAGAGTAAGAGCGTATGAGGTACAGGTGTGCAAACAAGTGACCGCACACTTTCTACGTGTAGTTCACTGCAAGAGGTAGGCAAAGTTTTAGGCAGCATTGTTGTGTGTGTGAGTTACTTTGTGCCTGATCATAACATATTTTGTCAGTTCGCAGTGTCAGCAGGTGTGTTGTAATGTTCGTGAATGAAATTGAGTCCTGCGTGAATTTGATGCATTGCAACAAATCTTGATCAGTGATTTGAATTGATTTGAATACAGATGAAGTGATTTCTCGGGGCAATGCAATTTGGATCGTTACGAACCGCAGTGTGAATGAATGAAAGTTACCATGGCAACTTGACACATTGCATCTAATGATCTTCCAGAAATATCTTTGGCAGTTAAATTGTCCTGATTTCCATAGTCCAGGTCATGGGTAGATTTCCATTTGCACAACAGCTAATGTGGTTATATCAGTGGAGTTGTTACGCCCCAACTATAGCATCAGTCCCAACTATAGTTGGGCCCGTCCCTACTAGAGTGCTACAGTTGGGCCGGCCCAACTACAGCAGAGTGGTCCTGTGTGCATGATGTGCCCAGCATGTGCCAAAGTCATATTGTTAACAAATGTCATGTCATTGGTCATAGGGCTAAGTGCCACATTTTTAATGATTTGTGTCAAGTGTGAGACACATTGACTTGGATAATGTTGAGACATTTCCCACAGACATTGGTCAACAATAGTTGGGCCAGCCCAACTACAGCACTACAGTTGGGACTGTCCCAACTATACATGTAGTTGGGTGTTATGCTATAGTTGGGGTGTAACCGAGTCCAGGCATTCTGTGGGCAATTGTAAAGGGAGGCAACTTCTATGTACTTTATATTTTTGAAAATTTTGTAGAATCCAAAGTAAAGGTAGAAGCAAATTACTACTGTTTATTGGTCGGAATGCTGATTGAGTTTTTCAAGTTCACCCTTTACAAAGCCTTGTCACAATCCTATTGCTCTCTGACTGGAAATGCGTCAAAGTGATCACTTTTCAGTGAATTAAATGAGATATTCAACGACACTCAGTTGAGAAAAATGTGTCAAATTTATTTTGAAATGTTCGATTCGCATGGTGCTCTTGATTTGGAGTAAAACATTTCTCTGAGTAGCAATACTGGTCATAAGAAGTGAGAACCTCCCTAGTTTGTACTTTGCTCAGAGGTTTGCTTCACAAACTGGTTTTTTTTTTTTTAAATCACCACCACTTCTTAGAGGCAACATGGCAGCTTTCAATGATAACGTATCACAACCCTACCATAGCAAGCAATGACACTTTGCCTTGAGTTCAGCTGTAAGGTCCCCCTTGCTGATTGGACTGCCTTCACTCAATGAAAATCACATTACACCCCTAAAAGAGCAATTGGGTTCTGTAACATGACCTTAATTTTCAGCCAGGATAAGTCATACCTTTCACAGCAAAACGGGGATCAATGTCCGATATCATGCAAGCACTGGTTGAAAGTACACATTTAAACAAATTAATATACATGTTTGTCTAAAACAATCCTCACTTAGGCCAAAATCTCAATATATATGGGTCATGTGTCAAGAACAATGAGTGATCAGACTATTTTGGCTCCGTGTATCTAAGCGTGTGTATTTGCTACTCACTGCCTAGGCACGCCATGAGGCGTGTGAACTATGCACGCGTTTGATGCGGAGCGCACCGAGTACACGAAACCAATTTATTCTGGCGTGTATGGTCTTTGCATACACGCAGAACGCTTACAAGAACCCGCTTTGTAACCACCTGTCTTTCTTTTACCGATTGGGGGTGCATTTCAGCTTTGGAAGGATTATATTGTAACATTGATAATGTTATGTGTACATGCATGGAGAGTTGACAGAAAAGTTCAACAGACATTCAGTCTTACCTAAATATATACAGACACATGCACTGTCATTCAATCATAGTTCACGCATGCTGAGTGTCGTACTTAATACACCATTTCTTATATCAGCGCTGCATATTACAAATGTATACAATGTATGTACATTTATGTTTATATAAATGTCCAATGGTGCCAAGATTTATAAAAAAAAAAAAATCCTGTTTTATTTCAACAATACTATGTTACAACTGCTAGCAATTAAGATATTACAATGTTCTCTTTCAGACATTTCCTATTTACGTATACATGAACACATGCATGCCGTTATCGACATCAAGGCCTTTTCACTAATACTTTAAAGATACAAGTTGTGTTACATGCATTTTTTTTCATTTACATCATTTTACATTTTGTAGACATGTTGGAAATTCTGATGCACCAAAGAGTATGGAGAACTTTAAAAATTTACATTACACTTTCAAATAATACAATTTACAACCCTGAAAATGATATTGGGAGATGCCTTTAGAAAACGGAAGAGAGAATGAAGTTTTCTCTCTATTCTGCAGGCCAATTGCATTACAACTGTCAAGTCCTGATGACTACGGCCAGTCAAAATGCTGGTTGATCATCGTAAAGAATTGCTCGTTATAGGGTCTGAAAAATTCCTGCAGCTTTTGTATCACCTCAGGTGACACCTTCGGGTGTTCTCTCCCTTTGCTGGGTGCCAGGCACTTGCTGTTGCGATCACCAGCCAAGCAGTAGAAACCGGAAGTGGCATTGAAGTAAAAATTATCGGACGTGATGAAATCGGGGATCCCGAGAAACTGTTCCACCTTCTTCATCTCTGGCAAGGGGTCGGTGATGAGTTTGTCTCCATCGACGAAGTGCATCTGGCGGAGGGGAAAATACTTCAGCCAACGTTCCAGGTGCTTGCTGTACATACTGATCTGAATTGCCTTGTAGGAAGTGCGCACCTCCCCCTCAGACATGACTGTCTCCTCGAAGCTCATGCCCACCATCTTGGAAACCCCCTTGGACATGATTTGGGTGTAGTCGGAGATCACCCGGGTGGTGGGGTCCCGGACGATAACCAGCAGCTTGACATCTTTGTTCATAGCGTGGATGTCTTCCGGCGCCGTCTCCGTGATGAAGTAAGAAGGGGTCTTCTCAATGGTAATCTGGCCCGGCAGAGAAGGCTGCATCTGCCGCCGGTACCAATCCAGGCCCCGGTCATAGTTCTTGTCAAAGAAGTGTACCTCAGGACCGCAGGCCGCTATCTGTGGGTGGTTCTCCAGCATCTCCAATAGTGCCCGGGTACCACATTTCCGTACGCCTATAATAATAGCCTGGGGGAGTTTCCGCGTTGTATCCGCTAAACGTGGAGATGAAGTCTTCTGCTTCTTCAACCTCTTCTTCATCTGCCGGCTCATAACGCCCTGCTCCAGAGCCTTTTTTTCCTCCATTATCCTCTGCTGGCGGATGCGATTCTTAATGTCGGTTATCTTGCCCGCCACATCCTCTTTCGATTCCTCCACCTCTGCAGCCAAGGCTGGCAAATATCCGTTCGACTCAACGTCAGTTGCAGCAGGTGTGTCACTGATGGCATAGTGGTGGAAGGTTCGGGCAGCGCACAGTAACCCATGCAAGTGTTTGGAGTACCAGACCCGACTGACAAGAGTCAGGGTAAGGATAATGCTTAGGAAGAGGAGAAATATCTTATGTCTGGTGGTGAGAGATGCTGCCATAGTGAATAAGTCAGCGATGCTTTGGTGGGTCGATCGGTGGTCAATGGTCACAGTCTGGAACCAAGGTTTTACGTCATTTCTCTGTCAATTGGAAAAAGTGTATGTTTACACCATGATACACTTGGCATCTTGTACCGTACATGTGCATGTTGGAATAAAAGGCTAAAATAATAGTACTTCTGGAAACAGATAGAAAGCATCCCTGACCCTGGGATGCCTTCTAAAACAATGGCCATCATGGCTATTCTTTGCTTTTCAACTATAGTTTTTGGCCCAAAACTTTATCCAATCGAAATTGCAAACTAGCAACATCTAACACTGATCTAATCATGTTAGCAAGGGTTTACAACTATATACTTACCAATATGATAATGAGGCTATCAAGTATCATCATAATTATGTAGTATGACAATATCTGCCATCTGGCACATGGCTGGGAATGTGCATAGGCCTACTGATATGATAAATACGTGTCCACGTCTGCTAACACTAAAAAAAAACAGTCATATGACTGCATACAACAACGTAGCTAGACTCACTTAGGCAAGTACTAAAATCATGTAGCCTTAATCATTTATATGTAATATCACGAGGATCAGATGATGTAGGCTTACTTTACGGTTTAGTATGCTCCCAACACGATGTAGGCCTAGGCCGATACAGTATTCATACGTGTCATAATCGTGCTGCTGGTGTCAGGCTGTGCCTAGCGACTGTGGTCATTTTGTCAACTTTGTATATAGTAAACACAAGCCAAAGCTGCTTTCATAATATAACTCACCACTTTCAGTCTAAAGGCATGTCAGAAAACCCAGCAGTACATATAGATTCTCGTAATCTTGCGCAAATACATTCTTAACATCCTGTGGAGCCACGGAGGAAGGAAGGCCCGCGAGAAAACGATAAACGACACGATGGAGGATCAGGTCCAAGCTTTTGTTTTCGGAAACAGCGCCCTCTTTCGTTCAATACTAAGCTCTGTTTCCCAAACCCGTCTCATAACACGCCGAACGTTTTCAATTACTTTACAGATAAAGTGGAAGAAATACAAGTTTCTGCAACAGCGTGGGGACAACCCAGGGATTTTCAACAGGTGTCCCTCTTTACGCAAAGGTAAATGAACAGGTGAGGCCTACTATGACATTTCCTCCTTTTTACTTCCCACAATGCCTTTCTACCATTGTGCAAAATCACCCATGCGGTATCTGCAATAAGGCTGATCAAAATAAAATCAAGATAAAATCAAGAAACAAACAGTTGCCAGACCCTTTCAGATACAGAAAACAATACAACCTTCTCCAACCCCCCTCCCCCCAAAAATCATATATTTCAAACTAGAGTATATATACAACGTGGATACAGAAACAAGCAATTTAATTCATCACCAAATATGTTAAAAGAACAGGAAATTAATGAACTTCTACAGTTCCACTTTCTTCAGATCGCATTCACTCGTCTCCATTTATTTCATTTATTTTACACACACACTGCATTCCTTACAACAAAAATATTAACCAGGTATTGCCACTTGACTGCAATGGCAGAAATGTCTCATCAGGAAATATAAGGAAAGATTGTTATTGTGAAGCTTTTACAAATATTGATAAATACGATCAAAAGACAGTTAAAATTACAAGCTTGCTATTTCGAATGATTACTGATTTGAGTCTGAGATTGCTGTTGAAATGGAAAACAGAAATAATTATCTTTACAAAAAAATTTGTGATAGGCTGAAGCACTTTCACCCAAGCTGCCTCATGTCTTAAAAAATTCCAACAGGAATTTTCCATGATTTGAATAATTCAGGACAATCCTCCTTGAGCAGAAGCACCCCCTCATCGGTTTTACAGAGCCATGTCGGTCAGGAATGTTAATTTCGTTGGTAGATGATGTGACCGTAGCATGTGCATTTCATATTCATTTGTGAACCAAGTCCAGTTCGTTGTGAACGAAGTCCAGTTCTGACCATTGGAGCCTTTGTTGCTAGGAAAACTGCGCCCTCTCTTGGTCCCGCTCGGGGCTCACAGCAACAAGCTACGATTAAAATGCAGGGCTTCAAGTCCTACTTTGAAATTAATTTTTTTATTGGTGAACATTAATGGTTTACTAAGTATGGCCAAAGTGGTACTGGGTGTCTTTAGAATGCTGGGTTTTCATTTAGACAGGGTACAAGAAAAATTTGCAAAAAGTGTTCATGGTTTGTTATTCAACACTTCCAAATTGTCCACTCAAGGTCTCTGTTTTCTGGCCTTGAATTTCTTCTTCCTTGAATCTGTGAAGAGATTGAGAAGGAGAAAGCTTCAGTTCAGTCTGTGAAATGATGGAAATGCGAGCTCGCTTTGACAGGAATGTTTGCAGAACTTTTGAGCTTTGATACCTGCACTAAGAGTAACAAGAGAATGATATTTCTAAAACACAAATCCTTAGGGGAGCAAATTATGTAATTTGAGCATGTACTTGACAAAAATGTCTGCAAATGTATCGTCAGCATTGTTTGAGCAACAACTCTGGGTGAGAATTCAAATGGAGAAGGGACTGCTGTAAGAGTTGGATCTACCATGAAGGCAATTTGAGAGGCATACATCCATAACTGAGAGATTCCACTCCTTGGATGTTCCTGTTTTTGTCCGAGTCCACCTTTCAGAACAACGTGACCCACCTTGCTCTGCACCAGTGTTTTTCCGTTTGGTGAGGGTGCTGTCTTCTTCCAAACTCTCCCTTGACTTGTCCGTCATTGGGACTCCTGGCTTTCCAACTGGGCTGTCTGCTGACTGGCTCAGGACTGGCCTGACCCCAACGCAAGTTAATCTTGCTGTGGTGTTCACGTCAGCAAGTAGAGTTGGCTCATCTAGCTAAGGTGTTGCAAGATCAAACGACAATACTGTAAAAGTCTTTTATCTACCCCTACAAAATCCTTCAACTGACACTCAAGATTTCTACTTCTTTCTCAGTTTAGTTTAACTGGCCTTCAAACTATATTTGGCCAGGCACACACTAAGAAAGTCCCCAAAGCGGCCACTTTTTTCAGATTTAGCAGATTTGCTCGGTAGCTGCTGCTGGAGTCTGGTTGAATTTGTGTGGTAAGTTTAAGGAAAACTGAAGCGTGCTTACTGTTTCAACATTAACAGACCAAATCTTGAGATGGCTGTCGCTGGAGACTGTCACTAACCACCTGCAGTTCTCCTCCGGTTGACTGCTGCGGTCTGATGTGCACTGAATTCCTTTTACTCTGGAAAAAACCACACACACACTCGGTGTTCAGTGATGAAGCTCAACAGTAATGACGATGGAAGGTAGGAAGAGAAGAGTGTGGAGAATCAATCGTGGTGAAATATCTTGCTCAGGGCCATTTTTTCTGTAGAATTGATGAATCAGGGTTTTGTTGGCTCTGATAATCACATTTACAGGGGTGTGTATTTCTAAGCAGTCCCGACCTGTTTTCGTGAGCCTTGAAGTCACATCGGCAGGTGGATTTTCCCTCAGAGAGCTCAAAGAGTTGAATGTTTCCACCTTCTCCTCCAACTGCCAGAATACGATTCTTAAACAAACAATTTTAACAATTCTGATTAATAAAAGAAAATTACTCCCAAACTACAGTCAGTCAAATTGCTCAGAAATCTTGAAAAGGAAAGGAGTCACAAAAGACCAATTGAGAGTTGAGTCTTAGGCTTGAGACTGTTCACAATTTTGCAGCTATCTGCTGGTGATTGCAGTGAGGTGATTTCAACCGGGGCAGGATTTCTAACTTGGTCATTCATGTCATGCAGCAGCAACATGGATGACCTTCAATGTGATACCTACTGTTACGAAGGAAACAGCAAGAATTTTCCTTTGACAGTCTATTGAGCTGGTAATGGTTGCCGTGGTAATTGTGTATACGTTGATGATGCTGTCGCCGACAACTATGTAGAGTTCACCGTCGGGTGACCATGACACGAAGTCGGCCACTAAGGAAGTAATGAAAAACATACAGTTCAAGCAATAGTTACCCGGCTATTTGTCTGTTTGGTTATGTCACAGTCTGGCTGACAGAGCAGTATCTATTGGTATTGGTGCATCTTAATGGTCCTCCCCACCCCTCCAGTCTTTACCCCTCCCATGTTTAAGTCCTTGGTCAATCGTTCCGTCTAGCCCTCAGAACCAGCTTAACTGTTCATGTTTCTGTCACTCTGTCTCTTTATCTCACCCTGTTTGATGTTGGTGGTGTACGCCACCCTTCCCTTGACTAGGTTCCAGGTTCGAAGTGACTTGTCCTGCCCAGCTGTTAGAGCCAGCTTCCCAGATGGATGAATGGCCACAGAGTTGACTCCGCCCCTGAAAAAAGAAAATCATCAATCATTTAGCAATTGATTTGGATAAATTGGACAAAATTCAGATCTAATTCTGCTCCTCATTTTCTTGCTTGATACTATTAGTGCTTAGGTATGGATTACATAAAATAAATATTCAAACCTCTCGCTGATTTTTGATCTCTTTTGCTGCACATCAATTTTTTTTTAAATGCAGACTGATTTTCTATGTCTACTTCTACAAAGAATCATGGCATGCCATACTTACTTATGAGCTCGTAAGCTTTTCATGAGTTCCCAGGATGCAGTGTGCCAAATACCAATAGTTCCATCAGCACTGCCGCTAATCATGTGACTGTCGCCATGGAAACATATGCTTGTAATTGAGCCTGAAACAAAAAGAGAAATATAGGGAAATCCGACTCAAACTGTAAAAGTTGCAACTTTTGTCTTGAAGAGTTCAGCATCCCTCCAATGCTTCTGCTCCCTTTCAAAACGCTGTTTGTCATTCAGTCAAAAGTTTCCACAAAACATCCCCAGTCCACTAGGACCCTAACAGGATCAAGATGTAAAATGCACTGACCAATGTTCTGACAAAAAAATCAATTACTGCATAAGGTTCTTTCAGTAAGCTGATAATGGCTGGGGGGAGGGATTTTCTTGTTACCATTATGTTGAAGCAATGTTCCAAGCTCTCTGTTGGTCACCAGATTGTAAAGATGGATGGTTTCATCTGTACTCCCAGTTGCCAGAAATGATTCACTAGCAGCCAGCGTCTTCACATAGCCAATGTGGGAGTTGTCAGTGAACTTGGCCTTAATAACAAACTTGGCCTAAATGAAGAGTGTAAACATGTCTACATACTTCACAGTCTGCTCATGTATCACATGATCCAAGTGAAGACCAGTCTGTCATTTAGTGTACTTCGGCCTATCAAAATGTTACAAAATGATTTGAATCTGAGACCACTGAAGGCGGGTCATGCTATTTAGCGTCAACAAGCGTCAACTAAATGTTCAAGCATTTTTATACAAATATTCTATATTTACAATATTAGTAAGGATCCTACATATCATATTCAACGTATCATATTATCGAAAATAATATTTGAAGATGGAAATCTGAGCAGCAAATTCGGGCCTGCTCATGCAGCCTGACCGGCCGCCATCTTGTATTCGCGTGGACAGTAGAGTAAAGAAAGATGGTGGCCTCCATACATCACAAAAAAGTTTGGTTTTTGTGCCTGAATCTGGGAGCGAATTCGGTGTTTCTTTTACACATTGGCAGGTTTTAAAGTCTCTAAATTTAGATAAAATTACTTTTAAATTCTAAAAGGATATTTTCAAGTTGTTGACACTTTGTTGACGCTATGTGTTGATGCTTGTTGATGCTAAATAGCATGACCGGTGGAGGCTGATCATGCTGAACATACTGAATATCATTTCCAATTCTGTCAAAAAATACTTTTAAAATGTTGTAGACTCTCCAATGATTTTATCATTCACAACTACCTTTACTATAGCATGATATGGGGTTTGCTACCCCAGAACTGTGGATTCCAACGCCTGCCCTGCTCTGGGAGTGGGTTGGATCCCACAGTCAGGACAGTTCGGGGTAGGGGTTTGCTTTGGCATGTCATTGGCACATCATTGTACATTACTAGCAAACAGATACAGATAGGGCCTACAGATACGCTCATCACACTGTGCTCGCGCACCGCGCAACGTCATGATAACCGCCAGTCGAGCGTGCACACATGATGTACACATCACGTCAGGTGGCGCAACGCAAGCCCTGCCTGCCAACATGCATGACATTGCCAAGAGATAATTCAAAATAAGCTATACTAAAATGCTTCTCCTGATCTGCGTTGTAAATAAATTATACCTCGTTTACGTTTTCGTTAACCACATAACCAAGGGTTGTTCTTTCGTAACAACCCGCATAAAGTTCCATGCACGTGGGCGCAGCCATCTTAAATTTATTTCTGGAGAGTCACGGTGGTTCTAAACACAACGAACGGAAAAAAAATCTATAATTGTTCTGCAAAGGCATTACATACAGTATAAATATTTATAATATATTACAACAAATTAAATAGACATACATATTGTACTTTTATAGAAAAAAAATTCACACCTTTATTACAATAATATTAAATGAGTCTAAAAATTTCGAAGTTGACGTTGGGGGCGTTTTACTTATTTTGTTTGTGAGCAGCGCATGCCGCGTAGCCTCTGGTAATGGTCCACGCAACTTGCTAGCAAGGTTTTGTGTAATAAATACTTCTCATCTTTCTTCTTAGACAGTTATTTACAAAAATCTTAAGCTGGTAATGGCTGCCTATGGACAGTGTACAAATCCAAGCCTCTGGATGGGCGATGTAAGTGTTTAAGACCTAACCTTTGCAACTACAGTTAGGGTAGACGAGTTTAATGAAGACGCTCACGTCACCGGTGCGCACCTGCTCACCTAGCCCCACACGGGGTGTCGGTCACTTCGCCCCATTTCCACGTTGCCACTAACCACTTGGCCCCATTTCCACGTTGCCACTAACCACTTCGCCCCTAACCACTTCGCCCCATCTCCACATTGGCCCACTGATTATCATTCATTTTTTACTTCAGTAACAGAGACGTAGACCTAACGCTAGATGGAACAAATGAAAACATTGACGTTTGAGCAATCACCTAACGGTGGGAGAATCCAACTTGCAAATGCCAAAATTATCCCGTCCCAGCATCCTCAACATTCATAAATGTTCTGGCTGAAAAATCGATTTCTAGCGAGGTTACTTTTTATTTGTGAACAAGATTTAGATTGCAAACTGGGTCAACCGATCCAGAATTCAGAACCAGGAAAAGTGCTGTCTTCACTTTCATCAATCCTGTACATCCAAATTAAAATAATTTTGTAGTATCTCTAACCACTACTGACCACATTTGACCAGCATTTGAGGTTTTTTGTAGCTGCAATCTGACTGACCAATTTTCCTATCCAGAATTGTGAAAATGACTGTATTATGTGTAGACATCTCACAGGTCGAGTTCTCTTTCTTTCAAAGTCGAGTTGTCCTAATGGACGACTTGACAAATAGTCGAGTTGTCTCAATGGTCAAGTTGTACTGAGTCGAGCTGGCAAACGGTTGAGTTGTCCGGCATCCTGTAGGCCTATGTTGGATGCGATTTGTCAGTCTGCACAATCACGTAATCACTGCATGATCACTCAATTTTGCTGTCAATAAATTCACCTCCAGATGACTGTGTTTCTTTCTGATTACTTGCATTGAGCAGTGAGGAAGATGGTTCAAAACAGAAAGGGAAAGAGTTTTATGTACGGACAACACTAACTTTCCCTTAAAATGCTATAACAGCCATCAGAAAGTGAAAACATTTTCGAAAAAAGAAATCTCCACAGCATTGACTTAGAAAACACTTTCTCCAGACAAGTCTCATAGGTTTGTTCATACGGGCATCAAGTGTTGTCTGTATATGGATCACAAGTACTGGATATGACAGGACCAGACCAGACATGGATTGAAAGATACAGGTTTGTTTTTCCAACAGACTGGTCTTTGTAAGGTGATCGTGTATGGTGGGCAAGCAGGCCTCTGTGCACATTATTTTGTTTTCCTGCAAAGCTGTGTCTGCTAACAGTTAACAATTTTGCTTGCTTCCTCTAATTTTGTCCTCTTAGCTGGAACCGCACATGGATGAGAACTACATCCGAACTGCTTTCCAGATGATGGGTCACACTGTATATTCCATCAAGTTCCTTATTGACAGGAAGACTTCGTAAGTAAAGTTCGTTGTAAAGGGGTCAGCTCATAACTCCGACACCTCATAAGTCTGAAAAATGCTTTAAAAAAGGCCATAAATCCGACGCCTCAAAAGTCAGATGCCTCTTAAGTCTGAAAATTGAGACTTTTGTGTTGTTGGACTTACGAGGCTTCTGACTTACGACACACCCCTTTGTAGAAACCAGTATCCTGGTTTTGCAAAGACGGCAACATCTGAACAGTGACTGTTAATCATCTAGTGGCTTGTGGCTGCATAATTATTGGTTTACTACAAGAAATTGGTTTTCTGATGAAGTTGTGGAGCATCTGTGATGCTGTGAAGGTCTCTGTGCATTCATTCACTGTCTGGCTCTAGCGTTGCAGTAACGGCGCCCTCTGTTGTTTCTCCTCTGGCAGCTTACCAGCCTCTTACTGCTTTGTGGATTTTGGAGAGATTCCACATGCCAAGCAAGCTCACACCATGTGCAATGGCCGTAGGATTCCAAATGACCCCAATTATGTAAGTCCGGACTTTGGATTTCTTGTCTGATTGCATTGGTCACAATTATTTCTTATTGTTTGAGGCCCTGAAACGGCCCGAATATTTTTGTGAACAATTCTCCAGTTTAACAGTCAAAAAAGAATTAACTCACCAAAAACCAGGCCAAAAGATTCACAATTGATTTTATCAGAGAGGCGGTGTTACTTTTCATCAATAACAGGTTTTTGTTCAATACTAATAATGGTTTTCTCTTGCCCTTACAGAAAAAATTCAAACTCAATTTCGCATTTGCTGGAGGATACAAATATGATGGGCACAGTGGGTAAGCAGAATTCTGGACGATATCATCAGCATTTTGAAAGCATTGGGGAATGACCCTGAAATTCATGCTGCCGCGCCAGTGTCCCAGAATTGCCAGTTGGTTAGAGGTGGATGAGCGAGTGAATTTATTGGATCTAACCCTTGATCACTGTTTGAATGTAAAATGCAAAGGAGCATCCTATCAATCAAGCGACTGTTAGGATTTCTGTGCCTGCAGAGTTCCGGCTCCTCAAATGTCCAATGAAACAGTTCCACACTGAAGAATGAATATAAGCTCTCGTCTTTCCCGACAGGTCAGGTGACCAGATTGAGTTCTCGTTGCATGTGTCCAATCTGTCGCTGGAAGTTACAGATGTCCAGCTCTTTGATTATTTTGCGAGCCGATATAAAACTGTCAAGCAAGCCACAGGTATGTCAATCCAGAGAGTTCCCTTTACAACAAGCCCCGCATTTGCTCGTCCTTACAGTTTTTGATTCATGAGAATGATGCTGCATCCTTCCCGAGTCAGTGTATGGAGCCAATAAACACAAGGAGTCAGCACAGACAGAGATCAAAAGGGTCAATGACGGCCACCGCCAGCACTGCACGTGTTGCAAGGACAAAACGAATTACGCGCTGCTTGTGGGCTACAAGGAATGCTCGGAGTTGCATTTGCAAAGGAGTGTGGGTACCGCGCATGCGTGTCTGAAACACTACTGCACGTTCAACATGGCCGCCTTGAGACGGAAACCATCGTCATCGGAGACTTAAATTTTGATAATTTTAGTGATTGTTCTGATATTCCAATGACAATGAAAGTCTGGTTACGTCTTGACATCCCCAAAGCGTCTCTCTTACAATAAACAGAATTACTAACTTACACAAATTCTCCAAAAATACTTGACAAGAAAACTGAAAGAAAGTAGCTGGCTTATAGGAAAGTTAAAAAACACACAAAAACGTGGGAAGATTCGTTGTTCTTCCAGTCATTAGCCACAATAAGCTAGGCATGAAACCTCGCCACGCTGCATTCCTGTGGCATGTTTCCACCTTCTTTTAACCGTAGGAACCACTAGGATTGCAGCTCATGATATAAATATCGCAGTTCATTTTTGGGTATTTGTTCTGTAATGCAAAATGTCATAACTCACTTTAAAAACATCTAGCTTTTGCCAAATAACCAACGTCGATTCTGGAGAACTGCGCATCTTCTTCGTGCATCTTTTCCACCATTAATTTACTCCCGTATGCCACAGCCAAACACAGCGAGTCTGTTGGTTACCAGCTACCCTGTAGTGGCGATCACTGTGTACAAAGAATATCTAGGGTCTTCAACACTGGGGCTGGTAACCATGCTTTGTCTATGGAGCCGACCGTAGTGGTTAATCAGATCGCGGTCTGTAGGGACTTAGTTCTAACTCCTTGTGTTTAATAGCTCCACGGTCAGTGACAATTGACCTCTCACTGTTTGCGAGTTAGCCACGCCCCCTATAGTCTGGTTCCCTGCCCAAAGATTCCCCGACAATAAAAAAACCTTAGGTCAGGCATTACCCACGGATATAAATAGATATGACACAAGGGTCAGGGTTCCCAAGCTCAGTGCTCATTGTTCACCTAGTCACTTATGACTGGTCGTGTGAAAGGACTTATGACTGGACTCATGAAGAGACTTTTGATAGACCTTTATCGCAATGCTGCCATGTTTGTCTTGTTCCCTGTAGACCCATTAGCAATACTAATACAACTTCACATATTGATAGAAGGGAACAGACTATTTTCCCTTCCACCCTCGGTTTGGTTACATTGGTTTGAATGGTAGAAAAGCAAGATGGCTGCCCCGTGAAAGAGGTCCTGTGCTTGACTATAACAACGCCCTCAGCGCAAGCAACACAGAGATAAAAGGAAACGGAGCGAGAGGTTGCCAAAAGGGAGTGTTACGATGTTAGCTGGATGGGTTGAGGTCAGCGTTTTAACCCATGAATTACAACAGTTGACTGTGATTGTTTCTTCCATAGTGGTCAGGGATGGGGTTCTCTCCAGGGGTTATGGCTTTGTCAGGTTCACTAGCGAGGCAGACATGCTGGAGGCTATTCGCGTGTTCAATGGAGCCGGAGGACTGGGAACGAAGGCCATCCGTGTTGGGCGGGCTCTACCCAAGGACACATCTAAAAGGTAGGAACCTATGTCCATCTCTGGACATCCACTCGCTGCAGTGCTGATTGGTGGAGTCACTCCCTCTGGACATCCACTTGCTGCAGTGCTGATCGGTGGAGTCACTCCCTCTGGACATCCACTTGCTGCAGTGCTGATCGGTGGAGTCACTCCCTCTGGACATCCACTTGTTGCGGTGCCGATCGTTGGAGTCTTTCCAATGCAGTCCAAATGCTTTTCGTATTTCAATGTGCCTATTCACATGTGTATTCCATGACAAACTGACATTTTACAAAACTCTGTGGAAACTTCTTGTTCGTAATCCTGCTCTCCATGATGTGTGGGAAAAAAAATCCTATTAATGGGAGGTTCAAGAGATTTAGGGCTGAAGAGGGGTGGTTGAATGCTCATTGAATGAGGCCATAATAGCATGCAGCCTGTCAATGCATTGCAGGCTTATGTAGCATTGATGTGACATTTGCTGTACTGTGTCTTTCATATTCCCTGGCTCTCCATCGCAGCTATGTCCAGTCTGCCAATGCACCTGTTACCTACCCACAGTACTACAGCGCCCAACAGCAGCAGCAGTATTCTCAAATGGCTGGCCAGTACGGTGCAGGATACGGTGGCTACTACGACCAGTACAAGACGCAAACCAGTGACACAAAAACTAAGGTGCGGCCTCTGATGCCTCCAAGAGGAGTTGAATAAAACCAAAACGGATATGAGGTTTTTGGGAGTTGCCAACCCGCCTTGTACTGAACGATATCATTTATTCTTTACCGCTTGTAAAACTTGACAAAAGGAGACCTCAAAGCAGATTCTTTTACACATCTCTCTGTTTTTTTTTTCTGGAATGAAAGCAATGTTTATCACCCAGGCAGAAGCCGATATCCCTTGCTCTTTGAGGCTGATTTTAAAATTCTAGTGCATTGCTTGGGAGTGCGTTTGCTGGCAGTCCTACATTGGTCGACCCCTGGAGAGTTCAGACATGTATCCGTAAGTCTTTGCTCTCAGAATGCAGATGCAAGTGGTGATGCTAATGCCAGTACTGCCATGGCCCCTGCTGTCACTGAAGAGGAAGATGATGACCCTCTTGAAGGTAAATACAGGATGAAGACGTTGATGCAGTTACCATGACAACCAAAATCCTTGGCCAACCTGTAACAATGACCCTTATCTTCTAATCCATGCTACAACTACAACACTAATTTTTGGCTCTCTTTCGTTCTTTTGTTATTCCTAACTTCGGCAGACCCTGAGGTCACGATTGACGTGGAGAAGTCCAACCGCATGATCTTGGAGAAGAGCGAGGAGCTCTACCAAGCCTTGGAACTGTCCAGGTGGCAGTTTGTCGACAGCGTCACCGTGACGTACGATGATTTGTGCAAAGCGTAAATGCCGAATCCTGCTAGCCATTCCAACTTCCCCGGGCTTGTTCCGGTTGTAATGATTCTGCGTCCATGCGGAAGAGAGCAGTGTTTCGCTTCACAACAAGGGCATAAGGAAAGAGAGCACAGATGTTTTTGGTGTCCACACCTCGTTTTTATCCATGTGCAAGAGGAAATATGTGGACAAACAGGGCTTTGACTGACAGCTGAAGCAGTCTGTATTGCAGATTTTGAAAGATATGGGAACCCTTCCTGAAGGCTGACAATTTCCATTTCCACTGTTATGGAGGTATTGAGGGCTTTGGGATGATGTCACAACTAATGTCGGCCATCTTGGAGGATTGGAGCTGCCTTGTAGCTATTGCGTTACCATTTGTCCACCTTGGAGTGGCTGTATGATACATATTTTTCACCACCCAAAATGAATTTCTTCCATAGTGTGGCGAGACCTATGTTTTGGATCCTTTTTTCAGGTTTTAACCAAAAGCTTTAATTAAACTTCACTACTGTGTGCCGTTTCTGAAACAGGTTTTTTCCTTTTCTTCTCCTCCTACTTTAATATAAAGTAATTTGTGCTGCAATGTTTGAACTGTCAAATTACTTTTTACACTTAAATCATTAACAGTTTTTGGAAATCTTGGAGTGGTTGAGACAATGTTGGTGTTGGGTTGAGGAATACTAAAGCCTTTGTTTGATTATCTTCAAGGTATTCCTTGAGCTTTCAGTGCTGATAAACAATTATGTATTGCATGGAAACCCTGCAGCTTCCAGTTTATATTCTTGGTTTGTGTGTTCTGGTTCAAGAACAGTTTTCCTAAGTATGAATCTAATCTTTATATATAAGAAACGAACACTTGTAGTTGGGGGACCCAAGTGGCTCAACAGGTTAGCTTGCTGCCTGGTGGAACCACCCTGGTGGGACGAGAACCCTCCAGAAGCAGGTTCAATCCCCAGCAGGGTAACAAGCTAGCTAAACAAGCTAGCGTGAAAAAGAGTTTTGCTTTTAATTTTTTTTATTTAAGACTGAGTAAAAGAAAAGCCCCTACTTCACTGGGATTTGAACTCAGGACCTCTCAGTCCAGAGTTCAGAGTCCTAACCACTGGACCACTTGATTTTCTTAGTAACATATGCTCGGACCATATATTTATCTTTAAGATTGAAAGGTATGGATCTTAAAAATTGTATGAAAAAGGAACTGGTTGGGATTTGAACCCAGGACCTCTCAGTAC